GCCACCAGGTGGGTCGAATAGTCCATGTTGGGTTGTGATGATGTGGAGGTGAGGTATTGGAAGCAGCACGACATTGCTGCAGTTGGTTGGATGAGCCACCTCCTCTGAAGAGGGCCCAGAGTGAGTCGGAGAGTGCCACAGCTGAGCTCGGGAATTTGGTCAAATATATGGGAAAAATTCGGGAATAAATTTGCAGAAATCAAACATAATTTTGTCGAAATTGTTATCAAGAGTATGGTGCCCTACACATACGCAAAGGTCATTCACCGTGTTGGGAGTAATAGCACGCTGAAAATTAACAGTATTTACAGATTGGGCAATTTTCGGGAAATTGTGGGTGAAATTTAACTCGTAATTATTATCAGTTCCGAGACCGGTGCCTGTAGGAAGCAGTATGTCGAGGCCACAAGAGGAAAGGAAGCAGCGAGAATCTCAGAAGAGGTTTGCATCGCTCCGCTGTACTGATTTGCATTTTTCATTGAGGTATTTTCATCCACCAACACTACCATTTAATGAGCACATGTATTACTGCCCACCAGCGTATAGGACCCCTCGGCCTTTGGAAGGGGATGATGATGGTATGTAAGGTTGATGTGGGGGGTTGTGATGAGAATACGCACATGGTCAACTACATGTGTTGATGACAATATGAAAATTCTGGGATGAAATTTGTTAGTTTTTACACATGTTAACTTTTTAGTTGAAAAAATTTCTGAGCTCAGCTGAGAAAAGCAGGTTTTTATTCTTCCAACACTGTATGGAATAATTCCATACAGTGTTGGAAGAATATTCCAATTCCTCAGGAATTGGAATTACCGCACTTCAGGCAAATCTCGATTGGGCAAATCTCTGTCAACATTCAGCGAAGGAGTTTTTTTGGATGGTTCTGGTACTGGTTACGACGTATGTAGTGGGTATAAGAATACGTGGTGGCCTCGAGGAGCTGCTGCTGCTAAGTCGGTGTACTCGAGTGGATTCACAAGGCCTGGCTATCACCGACCGATGCCGTTCATGAGGTACTGCGTGGGTCTGTGATAAGTTAGATGAGTTACGGTAGGTACGATGGTACTGCAGCGCGGTTTTCTAATTTGGTAGCACCCTCGTATTTGGGGTTCGGCGTTGGGAGCTCTCCCACTCCGTAGGAGTCGGATTAGCATGTTGGCTGCTGTTCAAAGTGACCGTAGAGGGGTTGAGTTGATCAATTTTGGCGGAGCGAAGCGCGACATGTTATGTTTTGTTTTGGTAATGCCTGGCAGTAGTAGTGAGGATACTTCTCAAGAAGGAGTAGATGATGTAATGGCAGATTCGGGAGAGGGGGAGAACCGGGAAGTGGCCCCGACACCCCCGAGGGATATAGGAGATCTCAGCAAGGAAGAATTGGAGATGCGTGTTGGTAACAGCACGGACTTTATGTATTTGTGTATGTTCATATCGGAATTTGGCAGAGGACTGAAGGTAGTAGTGGTAGTAGTAGGTGTTGGTGATGATGTCGGATTTTGGGTTGAGTTCAGCGTGTTCTGTTAGTTGCCTTTGTCGCAGTGGAGCTTCATGGGGTTCTTCAAAGACCTCTACAACTCGCAAATTATAGAAGGCTTTGTTAAGGACATTCTACTAAAGTGTTTGCATCCTCTAGGCAAACCAGTTATATGTAGTAGCTGTTCTGCTGTGAAGTGGAGAAGGAGTGGTATGGATATCATGACAGATCCAGCGGCTACTACTACGGACGTGGAGGTATCTACTCGGATTGAACGAATGATCGGAAAGCTCTTCCTCGAGAACGGTTTTGAATCTGAAGTCTTAGCGGGAATACGACCGGTCGCTGGTGTGGAGTTTCCTACGGATGAAGAAGGGCGCCTGGTGGTTGACGATCCTCAGCAGCTTGTGATGTGGTCACAGAGGAACATATTGGAACGAATGAGGATAGTAAGGATGGTATTCGGACCTAATTTGAATCTTGCATGGTTGGACCTAAGATACGCTTTGTATTTGGGCTACTATTCAACATTCCGGGCTGCCTCGTGGCGTCCTCGGCTGACACTGATGCAGTGGAGTCAACGACGGCGATCTCGACGTATATGCCGCTGAGAGGGCAGAGGGAAGCTGGCAGGGTAGTTGGCTTTGATGTGAAGGGCAGGAGGTAGTGATGGCGAGGAAGACGGGTTCGAATGGCACAGGAGAATTGTATAGTTTGAGAATAGAGAGTCAATCTTCTCGGCTGAATTTAGGGATTACGTTATGAGAATTTTTATAGGATTTGGGGTAGGAGTGTAGAAATGGAGTAGAATTATTTCCATGAATATTTCTCGATTTTCTTGTAGTGGTCGACACAGGTAGTTGACCATGTGTATGCTTTTATACCCTCATTTTCCTCATAGTAGCGTAGAGTGGTTGGTAGACCGTTTCATTAGAGCGAATGTCATATCAGGCGTGGTAAGTGATCGGCAATGAGATTGTCGGTGTGGGAATAAATATGCTCAGTTTTCCTCAACTGAGATTTATAATTTTCTCACTAATTAGGGAGTTCATATAGGAACCTGGTTGGGTCTTCTAAAATGTTGTCAGAATTTCAATATTGTCATTAACCATGTGCGTATTTTACCAGACTGACGCTGTCAGGTGGTGGTGTGTGAGGGACAGTGAGATGGGCCTAAGGGTGTGGAAGGAAGACCGCAACGGGGAAGTGGAGTTGGCAGTTTGGGAGGGAGCTCTACTGCCGGCTATAGCTGGGTCCTTGGAGGATGAGATTCTGAGAATTAAATCAGAGCTGAATAGAAAGGTTACTGATATAAAGCTGAATCGGCATCGGGAGGGTGGAGGTGCTAAGAAGAGGAAAAGGGATGATGATGGACAAGTGAAT